AGCCAGGCAAAGGCTGGGGGAAGCCATCTCACAGCCACCCCCAGCAAGGCTCCCGTGAGCTGCCCCTGCTCAAGCGGTACCGGGCACCGCAGGGCTGCTCAGGGGTGGCCGACTGCGCCCGCAAGGAGGGTCGGGAAGTGCTGGGGGCTGTGCTGGAGCCAGTGCAGAAGGCGCAGTTCCTGCGGCTGCTGGAGAGCTTCATGGGGCGCCTGGGCTTGGGGGGGCACTTTGGGGGGCTGGCAGCACGGCTGGATGGGGTCTTTGGGGCTGACGGGGTCTTTGCCCACGACCGCCTGCGGTTTGTTGACTTCGTGGATGATGTGGAAGAGCTGCTGGAGGAGGTGGCGTGGCAGGAGGGGGGTGACAAGAAAGCGGCCGATGGCTTCGAGGAGTACATGCTGCAGCACTACAGAGGGTGAGCTGGGGCAGGTGGTGCCAGGGGTCCTGGGGGATTTCCCCCCTCAGCACCCCATCCCACCTCCCCTTCTCTTGCAGCACCTCCGGGAAAGAGTGGGGCCGGAGGGCCCCGCAGCACCACGGCATGGGGGGGTAGAGCCAGGGGACAGCACTGTACTGTGCCAGGGTGGCTCCTCACCACAAGCCTTCAGCCATGCAAGGGGCCCCCCATGGGCTGTTTTTGGGGGGCTGGGAGCTACTGTTGCACCCTGTAGGGCCGAGTAGGGCCAGGTCCCTGACCAAATGCACTGTGTGATGCTTGACTGCCACCACGAATAAAGTCACCACTGGGCAGAGCTGTGTGGGTGTGGGGGGGAGGGAAAGGGAGGGTGCTGAGGGAAGAGGGTCCTGGGGAAAGGGAGATTTAGAGGAGGAATAGGGAGAGTCAGGAGGAAAGGAGAGAGCAGAGGGGAACGGGGTGCTGTGGGGCAAAGAAGGGGTGCTGGGAGGGAAGAGAGGAGTGCAGGGGGGAAGAAGTGGTGTGGGGGGGAGAGGGAGTGCAGATGGAAAGACAGAGGGGCAGAGGGGAATAGGCGGTGTTGGAGCAGAAGGGGGTTGCCGGGGGAGAAGAGAGGGTATTGGGGGGAGCTGGGAAAATGGGGGATGCTGGGAGGAAAGAGGGAGCGTTGAGGGGAACAAGGTACTGGGCAAAGGGGGGTTCAGAAGAGAATGGGGTGTGTGAGGAGGAAATGGGGAAAGGGAGGGCACAGGGAGCAGAGGGGTGCTGAGGGTACGGGATGCTCTGAGGGGCGGGGCAGAGCTCGCCGTGTCCCTGGGGGGGTTTGCGGGGCCCCCTCGGTGCGGTGCCGGTCCCGCCCGGCAGAGGGGGCCGTGGGACGGGCGGAGTCACCGGCCGGGGCGGGACCGGAGCGGGGCCGGGTGGGGGACCGGAGCGGGCCCGGGGCGGGACCCGAGCGCCGATGGCGGGCGCCACGCGTGGTGCTGCTGTTGAGGCGGGAAAGAGGAAATCGGGAAGGATTTCGTGGCCGACGGAACTGCGGACGGTAACGGGCGGGGAAACGGGGGCGGGGTGCGTGGGCCGGAAAAGGCCCCGAGGCGAAGTCCGGGTACCGGCAGGGGTGGGACCGGTACGGGGCGGATGGAGAGATCGGGACTCGGCCGAGCGGAGCCGGTGCCAGTGCCGATCCCGCTGACCCCTCTCCCGCAGGCTGGGCCCCGACGTCTGCACCATCCTGCGCCTCTCCGGGCCCCTCAAGGAGCAGTACGCCAAGGTACCGCGGCCGTGCCACACCCCGAGCCACGTCACATCGCGCCGAGCTGTGCCAGGACACTCCTTGCCGTGCTGTGCCGTCCAACACCATGACATGCAGTGCCACACTGTGCCGAGCTGTGCCATGCTGCACCACACTGTGCCCCTCCCCACCATGCCGTGCCATGCCATGCCATGCCACACTGATCTGTGCCAGGGCACATGCTGTGCCGTGCCTTGCCATGTGCGTGCCACACCACACTGTGCCGAGCTGTGCTGTGCCCTGCCATGCCATGCCGTGCCATGCTGTGCCATCCCATGCTCATGCCATACCACACTGTGCTGTACTGAGCTGTGCTGACCCATGACATATCTCACCTGCCCTTGCTGTGCCATGCCATGTCATGCTGTGCTCCATGGCCTGGCCCATGTGCACTGACCCTCCTCTCCCTGCAGGAACATGGCCTCAACTTCCAGCGGCTCCTGGATGCCAGTGCCTACAAGGAGACGTTCCGACAGGACATGATCCACTGGGGCGAGGAGAAGCGCCGTGCCGACCCTGGCTTCTTCTGCCGGGCAGCGGTGGAGGGGGCGGTGCACCCGGTGTGGGTGAGCTGTTGGGGGGCACGAGGGGTGCCAGGGGGGCACAGGGTGGGCGCTGAGGGAGCCCCCACACAGGTGGTGAGTGACACACGGCGCCTCTCGGATGTGGAGTGGTTCCGGGACGTCTATGGGGACGTGGTGCAGACCGTGCGGGTGGTGGCTACCGAGGAGACAAGGAAGAGGAGGAACTGGGTCTTCGTCACTGGTGAGCAAGTGAGGGGCAGCTTCGCCGAACACAGCACCAAAAACTGGGGTTGACCCACAGGCACGGGTCTGCTGCCTCCACTGCCACTCCTTGGCAGTGGGAGCCAGAGGTTTTGGATCAGCCCCCCAGCTCTGGGGGGGTGAGGCCACAGTGGGGGGGACAGACGGACAGATTGTGACTGTCCTCGGGGCCTCCCCGAGCTCTGCTGCTGCCAGGGGTGGACGATGCCGAGTCTGAGTGTGGCCTGGACCAGGGAGTAGCCTTCGACTGGGTGATCACCAACGACGGGGATGAGCTGGCCTTGGGCGAGCAGCTGGAGACGCTGCTGCAGGCGCTCCACAGAAGCCTATAGCTCCATGTCCCTCCACTGAGGCTTGGGGACCACATCCCCCCTCCCCAGCCCCCCAGCATCCTCCCTTCCACCTTTTGCCAGCACTTCCTGTTCTGGAATAAAGCTCCGATATGGAGAACCACTGCCACGCTGGGGCCGTGTCTCATTTCTGAAGGAGGGACACACAGGTGGTGTCCCCTCACCCCTGCCATGAATTCACCAGTTTTTGAGGGCACAGGTGCATTTTAATTACTTCTGCCTGGGCAAGGGGGTCACCAGCTGGATGCTTCGTGGTGTCTTTTAATAAGGTTTCCAGCAGCCAATTCCCTACGGATTATCTCTGCTTCCCAAGCTCCTACCCTGATATCCGCTCCTCTCCTGCAACAGCTGGGCACAGCCGGGGAGGTGTTCCTGGGTGGGCTGTGGGGTTGTAGAGGGGGATTAGGGCCCTATATATACATCTATAGCTTCATATCCCATACTCTGGATCTACCATCAGCCTGACCCCCACCTTGGGGACATGCTGGGGCACGCACACACACACACACACACAGACCCCTGCCATCCATGGCGTGACCCACCCTCAGGATGGAAGCACACACTCCAGCTGCTGCTTGTAATCTCCAGCCTCTGTAAGGGGATTAGGGGGGTTCATACAAGGGGAGGGGGGATGCCCATGGGGGAACCCAGTGGGTAAAACTGGTGAGGGGTCGTTTGGGACTTGTGCATGAGGGCACACCAGTCCTGGCACCCGGTGCAACCCCATGCACTACAAGTCCCGAACGACCCCGCAGAGATGCAGGAACCGGGGGTGTGATGAGGG